ACAAGCTATCTCCAAAGGCTCTATGGGTATAGACATAGACTGCCACCTTGTGGCATATACATATATAGATACATGTGCGCTAAGCAGCCTTACTGTCTGCTTTCTGCAACTTTCCTAACTCCAAACTCCTCTTGGCACAGATAAGCAATGTGTCGCTAACCAAACAAACAAGGCATCAGGTGCTTCTTCTATCTTGCTTAGTTTTCCAAAAGCACTAATTTTCAATATCTCAGCTCTACCTACAAAAGCTGGAACAACAGTATAGCAACTAATAACCATTTAGGTTTTGTTGTCTTAAAAGGCAAGAAAAAAAATTTCCAGCTGGGCATGATGGGCTCACACCTGTAATCCTAGCTACTCAGGAGGCTAAGATTTGAGGATTGCAGTTCAAAGCCAGCCCGGACAGGAAAGTCCATGAGACTCTTACCTCCAATTAACCACTAGAAAACTGGAAGTAGTGCCGGAAGTGGTGTAAGTGGTAAAGCGCTCCCCTTGAGCTCAGGGACAGCTCCCAGGCCCAGAGTTCAAGCCTCATGGCTGACAAAAAAAAACAAACAAAACAAAACAAAAAAAAGAATTTCCAACATTCCCAATAAACTTTTATAAAAACTGATGGAGGACCTGCCACCTATAAAAAGCAGTAGACAAAATGGTATTGTGTAACCATAAAGAAAGCAGATTCAAACTCAAGCATTTTGTATATTAATTCTTTCAATCCTCACAAACCATAGGCTAAGAATGTTGTCCAAAACCACACAAGCATTAACCTGTGGATCATCAAAACAAATCTCATCTCTTTCCCCTTTTATCTGTTGCGTTCACTTTAGTTTCTATAGTAGTACTGAACTTCATTGCAGAAAACACAGTCCTTAGATAGTTTAATTAGCTTCTCATACCTCAGCAAATTCAAAGCCAGCCCAGGCTAACAATCACACACACACACACACACACACACACACACACACACACACACACAAAGCCAGCCCAGGCTAACAGTCACACACACACACACACACACACACACACACACACACACACACACACACACACAGCATTACAAAATGCCTTGAAAATAGCTGAAACATGGCTGATGGTAAGGTCAGGGAAATGCAGGAAAAAAAAAAAAAAAAAACATTTGGCTAGACTCCTCACCTGCCTTTTCACAGTTACTACACAGGAAAGAAGACCAACCAGCTTTCGCCTACAAGTGGCAACCCCAGGGCCAATACAACACAAATTGTTTTTGCAATACAAATCTCAAGTATAACTTTAAGATTAATTAGCTTTCCTATTCTGAACAAAAGATGTTACTAGCCAGTGGTGGCAGCTCACATCTGTAATCCTAGCCACTGAAGTGGCTGAGATCTAAGAATCTAAGTTCCAGAGCCAGCCCAGGCAGACATACCCGAGATGCTTATCTCCAATTAACCAACAAAAAGCCAGAGTGAAGGTGTGGCTCAAGTGGTAGAGTATCAGCCTTGAGTGAAGTAAAAAGACTTAAAGAAAAATCTAAAAAAAATCTCAAAACAATGTAAATCAAAAGTAGCCAAGATAAAATATTTACTGGGTGCTTCTATTTACTTAAGTATAAAAAGTAGACAAAAACATTTAGCACAAGAAGTTACAGACAGTGGTGAGCTGGGACTGGAAAAATGAACAACGAGTTTCATAGGATTCCAGGTATGATCTTTCTTGATCTGGGCACCAACTGCTCATATTGCTGTCTGCATTTTCAACATAGTACATCATTACTGCCCATAGAGCTGAAACATCCTTCCTTATTATGGATTGGCTGCAACTCATCTGATTTTATCAGTGTCCTGTAGTTCACATTGAGCCTTTAACTGCTCTTAAGTTCTGTACAGTAAGAAAAGCCAGGCGGGGCACAGGTGGCTCACACCTGTAATCCTAGCTACTAAGGAGCTGAGTGAGATCTGAGGATTACAGTTCAAAGCCAGCCTGGGGAGGAACGTCTGTGAGACTCATCTCCAATTAAACACCAGAAAACTGGAAGTGACACTGTGGCTCAAGTGGTACAGCACTCACCTTGAGCTAAAGAGCTGAGGGGCAGTGCTCAGGCCCAGAGTTCAAGCCCCATGACTGACCCAAAAAAAAACCCAAAAAAACGAAAGAAAGGAGGGAGGGAGGGAGGGAGGGAGGGAAGGGAGGAAAGGAAGAAAGGAAGGAAGGAAGGAAGGAAGGAAGGAAGGAAGGAAGGAAGGAAGGAAGGAAGGAAGGAAGGAAGGAAGGGAAAAAGCAAGAAGTGATGGTGGTTCAAGTGGTAGAGTGCTAGCCTTGAGCTGAAGTGCTCAGGGGCAGCGTCCAGGCCCAGAGTTCATGCCCCTCAATCGACCTCCCCTGAAAATTTTGTTCAATAGATCTACCTTCTCTGGTCCCCTCCCCGCCACCCGCACCCCCCACTCCTTTGAGATAAGGTGTAGTTACAGAGCCCAATCTAGCCACAAACTTAAAATCCTGTGGGGACCACATCCTTAAAAATTCTTGAATCCTCAGTATTTCACTGCATCTTTCACAAGTGATTTTTAATTATTTTTGTGATTGCCCTGGGGTTTGCTTTGTACTTAACAGGCATTCTACCACTTAAGCCACTGCCAGATCTAATATTACACTGCCACAAATGATTTAATATTGCTTAAATGGATCAATGTAGCCTTGGATTTGTACCCTGTGACTGAGAAAATGACCACATGGGGAAATAATGATCAAAACAAAGAAAGCAAAAAGTACTAAGATTTAAGTAAGTATACCCAGAGGCACTATTATATTTTAAAGTGAATGTATGAAGGGGTAGGTGGGACTGAATTTAATCAAAGTATACTAATGCATGCATGGGAAAAAAATCACAATGAAACACCTTTGTACAAGTAATGTGTGCATTGGTGGCTTGCACCTATTATCCTAGCTACTCAGGACACTGATATCTGAGAATCAAATTTTGAAGCCAGCCTGGTCAGTAGTAAAGTCTGAGACTTCAATTAACCACCCACAGTAGAGCTGTGACTCAAGTGATAAGAGTGCTAGCCTTGAGGGCGTGGGGAGATTGAAGGAACTTTATAAAACCTACTTAAGAATATTTTATGTGTCAGCCCTGGGGCTTGAACTCAGGGCCTGAAAGCTGTCTCTGCACTTTTGTGCTCAAGGCTACTGCTCTATCACTTGGAGCCACAGCCCCATTTCCCACAATTTGGTAGTTTAGTGGAGATAAAAGTTGTATGACCTTTCTGCCTGGTCTAGCTTTGAACTGTGGTCCTCAGAGCTCAGCCTCCTGAGTAGTTACAGGCATAGGCCACTGGCATCCAGCTTAAGAATTTTAAGAACTAAGTCTAATGTTTATGAGTAGTGACTGTCAACAGTTGTGATGTTCATTAATCTTACTCATAAATACCAAGTTTGAAAGTTTATTATAGGACACAAATCACTAAAAAATACAATTTAAAATATACTGATCAACGCACAATGCCTACATGCCTCTGATCATATATTTATTGAAATGAACTCCAGGAAATGGAAACAAAAATAACAAAATAAAAAATTACTGTTCATGCTGCATGTATGGATTGGTTCACACCTGTACTTCCATTCCAGCACATGGGTGGTGGAACCTAGGTCAGCATGAACTACTCTTTCCACATATATGTGTATACTGCATTATTACATACTTAATATATTTCATAATAGCCTTCCCTAGTAAGTTCAACTTAACAAGATTTGGTTGGTTTATGGTATTGTAATAAAAAAAATCAGGAAAAAACTTATTTCCCCCAAACAGATCTCCATATTTCACAGTAAGAATGTTTTATTTTTCAAAAATAATCTAAATCTAGATATAGTGATATATATAGATATATGAATAAAGTGATCCATAAAGAAAAATCAACTGTGTAGTTCTTGGTTTCTTCTTAATTTTATAATCTTTATGTAGTTGTACAAAGGGATTTCAATTCAACACATTAGTTTATGCGCATAATGCATCTTGATTCATGTCTTCCTTCCAGAGTCTCACTCTATTACCTCAGACTGGCTTCAAACAGTCTCAACCTTCTTAGGGATGGGATTACAGGCATGCACCATCACCAAGTCCTTTCCATTATTGTACTCTTCTGAACCCTGTTACAGGAACTGGAATGTATATCAGTATAGCACATGCTTATTACCACAGGCAAGGTTCTGAATTCAATCCCAACTACCAAAAGAAAGAATACTTGTTATATAGCTAATTCTAAGATAGTCTGAGCTTGGTGGCCAGTAGTGCAGTGATTGCCCTCTTTAAATCCCAAGACAGGACAACTGCTATTAGGCTAGAGTATGGATGTGGGTTGTAGTATCTACTTCCCCCAAGTCCCTGTTCCTCTTCTAAATCTTGTTACATATGCTTAACCAAGAAGCTCAGTAAGTTAGGATGATGTATTTGGCAATACTCTTGAACCCTAAGATACTCCTACTTAAAAAGGGCAATTTTTCTACATAAAGTGTTTATTAACCAATTAACTTTTTGCTTAACAGGTCTTAAAATCTTGCTGCCTAAACACTTCATAGAAGAGCTTTATAATGTTTAATATTTGAAACAGATTTGAAAACAGGTTATGAAAAACTATATAACAAGCTGGGCACCAGTGGCTCACGCCTATAATCCTAGGAGGCTGAGATGTGAGGATCACAGTTCAAAACCAGCCCGGGCAGGAAAGTCCCATGAGACTCTTCTCCAATAAATCACCAGAAAAACGGATGTGGCGTTGTCACTCAAGTGGTAGTGCTGGCCTTGAGCTGAAGGACAGCGCCCAGGCCCAGAGTTCAAGCCCCATGACCAACACAAAACAACAACAAAAACACCAATCCAACAAATAGAAATATAAGCATGTGGTAGCTTTCACCTATCTACCTTTTAAAGTGCAAAAGATATCTTTTCAATATTAAAGTGTCTTTCAGTATTAAGAGTTAAATTGTATATATGCCTCTAGACAAAACTTTAGACACACATCTAGGAGAAAACCACTTTTAATTGAAAAATAAGGCAATACATCTCAAATAAGACTCTTTAACAACATAAACTGTAATTTGTTGAGAGAATAGCTTTCTAAACGATATTATGAAATTTAGCTATCAGAGTACTAATACAGCTTTCCTCCTTTATCCTGACTCAGCTATTGGCAATATTAAAATAAGGACTTTTTTTCCATGAATTTAATGTCCATGAATTAAAACTGCAAAGCCTGTCCCTGTTCCCAATCCACTGACATAAAAAGGGGAGTTTTTTTTTTTAACAATTATTTCCATACTGAGGTGGTCCCAGAGAAAAGTAGGGAAAAAGTCACTATTTTCCTTATGAAAAACATCTATGTAAGACACACAAAAAAGTCTACTAATATTTGTTATCCACAAAACTTCAAAACACAAGGTGATCTCTACTACAATTTTCCTTTTAAGAAGTTTGCAAAGCCCAGAATGATTTAAATTGACATACTCAACACATTATAAATGTTGAAAGAATCTACTAAAATTATTGCTTTGAACTGGAAAAAACTATGTCAGAAGTCTCTTTTGAAAAAGAGTTCATTATACAACCATTTTTAAAGTTACAATCATGTAACACAGAGAAAATGCTGAGCCACACAATGAACTCCATTCTTAGAATGCAGAACAAAGGCAGTAAGATGTATGGCTTTTTGTGTGTGACTGTATTACAATCTATAAATAAAGTCATAACTGTTTGACTAAAAGCATTTTTACAAAACTCCACTTCCAAAATTAACATTTTTATTAAATCAAGTAAAAAAATGTTCACCGTAGAAAAGTCAACAAGGGTTTTAAGGAAACCAAAATATACCTTTTTATACAATATATGTATATATTAGCAGCAAACTACTTTGGAGATTTTGTGTTTAAAGAAAGCATAAACATTGTATATTAACATGGAATGTCTGCAAAACCATTCTTCATCTTTTATCCTGTGATTTGACCCACCTACAAGATACATTATAATTCCTGTTACTGAATACTAAGAACAAACCTAGTTTTGACCTTAAAGTAGTGAAACAGTGGCTGGCAAAATCTATCTCACTACATCAGTCACACATTATTTTTGAGAGTAACAAATGAGCACCATAGATAAGCAAGTACTTTTGTGTGTAAACTTAATTTTTAAGATGTAATAGCAGCCAACTATACCACTCAAAATCTTAGTTTTTTAAAAATTTGGTGACATACAAAATTTAATCAAATCAGATAAATACTTCAAACCTATACTGTTAGTCCATTTTAAAAGCCTTAATAAAAATTCTGTATACAACCTGAAAAACTGCATGCAAAGTTACATGTGTGTGTATTAAACTTAAGTTTATTTGCAGAATACAGTATCAACAATTTTGTTTCTAGTAAGTTTAATTTTAGCTAATGAGAATAATGACTATTGAAAGGTCTGAGGCCAAAAATTACATAGCTTAGTATATCTTGTCACATGAGACTGATATTTCAACTGTGCATGAAAGAAAATTTTCTCTTCATATTTCCATCTATAACAAAAAGAAAATAGCCTTACAATGAGCTCTCAGAGATAAAATTGGGAGAAATATCACTAGCCTTCAAAAATAACTAAGTGCTATATAAATACAATTTGTTTATATTTGAATTCTTCAGCTAGAATCTGCATTTTTAAAAATTTCCTTTGGATTAATTTACTTAACGCTTCAAGTTTCCATTCTGCAACTCTGACGACTGGCTCAGGTTTGTTAGGTTTATAGCAATCACAAATTTTAGAATCTACTACTGCATATACAAAATAGTAAATAGGAAGAACTGCACCAAAATTTAAAAGCAACATAATAAAAAGTTCTAGAATATATAATATAAAAAAAACATAAAACAGGGATTCCCTTTTCACATTAGTGAAATATAATCCTTTTTATACTTCTAAGTTATCTTTAACTTTTGTTTCTTGTCAAGAAGATGAAGTTTTAAGGTGGCCATTTTTTTCAATTAAAAACTGAAACAATAGACTGAATTACTTTATTAATATACACATCAAGTTACTGAAATGTTGACTTCATGTAGTTTTCCCCTTAAAGATGGCACTTGCAGGTACAAAGATGCAGAGATGTCTATAGATTTCAGATGTTTACTTGAAAAGATTCTTCCACAGCAGTTTGATACTGGGTTTCCTCATCTAGCTGAAGATTCTTTTAAAAAAGAAATAACATGTCAACAAGGAAATAGTTCACTATTAATATATTTTGCCCAACACATCATATATCATGATATATATTATCAGGAGAGTTTATGTATAATATAGAGTATCCTTTAAAACATAAGATCAAGACAGGAGCCAGTGGCTCACGCCTATAATCCTAGCTACTCAGAAGGCTGAGATCGGAGGATCACAGTTCAAAGCCAGCCCAGGCAGCAGTCTGTGATACTCTTATCTCCGTAACCACCAGAAAACTAGAAGTGATGCTGTGACTCAAGTGGTAGAATGCTAACCTTGAGCTGAAGAGCTGAGGGACAGAGCCCAGGCCCAGAATTCAAGCTCCATAACCGACCAAAAAAAAAACAAAAACAAAAACAAAAAACCATACTATTTACTCTAAGTTTTATGACCAATAGATTTGCTTTAAAATATATTAAGGCTTTCAATTGACAACTCTGAATGATTAAAATTAGTTTTCTATGGCAAGATAAAACAATCTGACAGATCAAAATTACCTGACAAAATGTATTTCCATTTTTCCAAAAATAACCTTCCAGATTCTTCTTATATAATGAAAATGTAGTAAGAATCTATAGTTATTATATAAAATTACTGAAATACACATGAATCTCATATACATTTAAATTGATTTGAAATAGATGTGCAAATTGCAAAAAAAAACTTTAAAATGTATCAAGAATAATATAATTTCAACATCTGAAAGCAGAGAAAAATATAAATTTTATTCATGCTATTGTGGGAATTGTATAAACCTGTAAACCTGTGATTACCTCAACTAGGAAAACAAGTATCAGCCAGCCTTTGTCAGGATGTTTTTTTTTCTTTCAAGCAAGGTTTCTATCTATTTTCCTTTCTGTTTTTTATTGTCTCCTCTTCCCATACCCCCAGCCTCCAATTCACGATCCTCCTGCCTCAGCCTACCTAGTGTTAGGATTACAAGCAAAGCCTGGAAGAACTACTCAATTAAATAAGGTATGAGTTAACAAAAATTGAATAAAATGAAATTTAAAAATTAATAAAATATCATTGTCTAGCTTTCTAAAAATAGAGTTACTAGGACACATTCAAGAAGTAGAAACTGATGTCATTTTTGCTTTGATTGAACCTTTTTTACATACTGTTAACTTCCCTCATTCACAACCTGGCTTTGTCTGATTTAATAAAGTTCCTTTATTAAAAAGAAATGTATCTCCTACTATCTATCTCCTACTATCCTCATTTAATAGGTAATTTATTAAGTCTTCTCTAGAAAAAAAATACCAAATACCTGAAGGTATATATGTTGTTACTATTTTACTTTTAAGTAGGTTTAATAATTCCTTAATTCTAGATAGTCTAATAGAAATCATCATTTTATTAATCTGGGGCTTTACCCCTTTATTAACTCTCAACATAAATCAACTCTGACCATGGTCTATAAAATAAAGTTTACCATGAGGGTAAGGATGGGAGAAGAGGAAATGGAAGGAAGTGATAAAAAGGTTTCATACTGATTAAGACTAAGTATACTCATAACCCGATTCATGGAATTGAAACCTCTTTGTACAACTACTTAGTAATAAAAAAATTTAATAAACTTAAGTGAAACAAAATAAAGTTCACCAATATTACTACTAAACACCCAAGAACTTGCTCTACATCCAACCACTATGATATAAAAAGCTTGTCTCAAAACTCAAATCTAGATTACAAAATTAGTTTAACTTGAACATGAAAATAGTATTTTCTTAATTTTCAAGAATTCACTTACCACAAATTCTCCATAGTCAAACTGATGTCTTTGATTTAGATGACTAACAAAATTTCTAGTAATCTGGCTAGGATCTCCCCAAGGAAGAGATACACAGATAGGACATGTCTATGGGAAACAGATTGTTTTAAATAAAAAACAATGAGAATAATCAAACACTGTATAATTATTGAGAGTATTAAAACACAAACTTATGTTATTAAAAACACCAGGAATATCTCTGTTGTTCTTTGCTTTATTGCATTTTGAAGATTTGTAGTAACCCTGTTCAAGTAAGTCTATTAGCACCATTTTTCTAAGTACTCAAATTATCATTAACATTTTTATTTTATTTTTTATCGTGAAAATACTGTACAGAGGGGTTACAATTACATGAGCAAGGTAATGAGTACATTTCTTATCAAGCATTGTTGCCTCCTCCTTTGTTTCCCCTTCCCATCCCCCCACCCATTCCCCGCACCAAAGTTGTAAAGTTCGTTTTTTAACATAACATCTTGTTCATCTCATTAGTGCAATGGGTCCACTTTGTATCCCTATTTAGACAATTTGTTTTTTTCCCTTCCCCACCACAAATTATACCAACATCAAATACAGTGAAAACAGGAGTTATACCATGGGGGGAGGGACATACAAAGGAACAAAGAAATCATCTTACGAAATATGTTAGAAACAATAGCAAGAAAGAAAAATGATTTGAGTCCTTATTTTGGGTTCATTTCGCCTAACATCAACTTATCTGACCATTTCTGCTTGTCTCAGACATATACTAGTTATTGCAAATAAGGGAAGCCATGGGACCTATGTTTCTTTGGGCCTGGCTTACTTCACTTAATATAATTTTTTCCAAGTCTTTCCATTTCCTAACAAATGGGGCAATGTCATTCTTTCTGATGGAGGCATAGAATTCCATTGTGTATATATACCACATTTTCTTGATCCACTCATCTACTGAGGGGCATCTGGGTTGGTTCCATATCTTAGCTAACATTTTTAGCAAAAAAAATTCACTGAATGTAATTTTTAGACATAGTACTATTGTACAATGAAATATAAACATAACTTTTGTATGAACTGGGAAATAAAAATGCTATGTGTCTCACATTGTAATATTTGCTTTATTGCAATGGTCTGAAATCAAATTTACACTATGTCTGAGGTATGCTCACATGTAAAAATCATTTCTATAAGCCAAATTTCATGACTACATCACTTTCTAACCAAATTGCTTTAGATAAATTATGCTAATATATAATAAAGGATAACTTGGATATGAGCAGAAACTCCACATAACATCAATTGTAAGAACAATTGTCATTAACTGCCTATAATATAAAAAAGTATATAATCATGTTTGATCTATATAATATTAGCTTCATTTCCAGGTAAAAGGGAAATAAATTATAAAGTTTAACTTGTGTCCTTCAAGTTTTAAATGAAGTACATCTTAAATAGTGGAGAGGAGAGCTGAGTGCACTGGTATATAGCTGTAATACCAACACTTGGGAGGCAAAATGATAAGTTGAAGGCAGATTAGAATATATAGAATTCCAAGCCAGCCTGGACAACAAAGTAAGACCCTATCTCAAAAATTAAAAAGAAGATATGGATGACATACTGAAATGATATTTAAGGAATTATAATAACTGGACTGTAGTCCAGTTATAATAATTATAATAATATAGTAACTGAACTAAAATAATGATATATTGAATATTTTACAAATGAATTCTTAATCCAATTTAAAAAAAAACAAAGTAAAATCTCTTAAATATGAGAAGTTTCCTGGAATCTTACTTAGCACTGTTTGGGGTTTTTTTGCCAGTACCAGGGCTTGAACACAGAGTCTTGAGCTCTCACTCAGCCTTCATAAAGCTGGTATTCTATACTTGAGCCATGTTTTGAGTCTGGCTTTTTTGCTGGTTAATCAAAGATACCACTGACAATTTTTCTTCCCAGATCTCAGCCTTCTAAATAGTTGGACTATAGGCAAGAGGCACCAACACCTGGGATACTCTATTTGTATAAAGGAAACCAATCCTTTCCCTTCTAGCAGGCAAAAGGAATGGCATGCCTCCCAGAGTTAAGGGATTTTTTTTCTTCTTTTATTTTTCTGGGGTAGTGCTGGGAATTAAACCCAGGACCTTAGGGCCTTGTATTTGCTAGGCAAGCTCTCTGTCACTGAATTATATCTCCATCCCTGTTTTTTCTTTTTCCTTTTTTTGAGACAGTCTCACTGCATAGCCCAGGGTGAATTCACAATTCTCTTGCCCCTTCCTCCCAAGTGTTAAGATTGTAGGTGTATGCCAAATCTGGCTATTTTGGAAAGATATATATATATATATATATATATAAAACTTATCTGTGAGACTTGTATTCAAAATAAACTCTTCTAGGACTACTAACACAATGTTGGAACTCTTTGTCATTCATCAAAAAGACCTTATCATGTTATAACTCACCCTCAAAATGTCATCTGAAAGATGTGTATTGGTCTGGGGATATAGATCAGTGGTAGATCACTTGCCTAGTTTGAGCTTCAGTACCATATTAATACATACAAAAGTATATATGCATCAAAGAGAAAGTATGACTCTTTCAACTTTATGCATCATACAAAAGATTCTGCAAGGACACAATTAAAAATGACTACTTGCTTTATTTTTATTTATGATTATTTTTCACTTGCATCATATCCTCCTGATTGGATACAGTTGTCTCTATCATATATAGCAAAAAACTGAAAGGATCCAACAGAATTAACTTATACCACTGCTCAATAACCAGTCACCCATTCATCTTTCATGGCTTTATTCTAGACTATTCTACATTACCTCACAAAGCTTCTTCTTTTTCATGGCAGACATTACTAAAATTTCACTTCATAGTCATCATTTGTTGACAGAAAAGCAACTCATAATGCCCCATCCCAATTTAAATGAACATCCTTCCCGTGTGTGTGTGTGTGTGTGTGTGTGTGTGTGTGTGTTGTAGTGAAATAAATATGCTTAAATAGAAGTCTGTCCTAAACACATGTACTTACCACAGGAACTATCTGAAATAGGTGGTTACTGTTACAGTGATCCAGTAAACGCTGTCTTGTAAAATTTGACTCTTGACACAAGGGACACTTAAAGGTAGGATGCCCAGAACTACAAAGAAATTTTAAATGAAGAATACTTAATTCAAAATAATTAACATAAAAATTATGCTCTCTTTCTTTTTTTTTTGGTCAGTCATGGGGCTTGAACTCTAGGGCTAGGTACTGTCCCTGAGCTTTTCAGCTCAAGGCCAGCACTCTACCACGTGAGCCACAGAGCCACTTCTGGTTTTCTGGTGGTTTATTAGAGATAAGAGTATCACAGATTTTCCTGCCAGGGCTGGCTTTGAACTGCAATTCTCAGATCTCAACCTCCTGAGTAGCTAGAATTACAGGCGTGAGCCACCAGCACCCAGCTGCTCTCGTATTTTTTGAACGATCACTGTTGGTTTGTTTTTTAAAAATTCTGGTAGACTATTAAAGGAGTCTCTCATTTGAAAATGTTTTCAGCAAACCATCTAACAGGTAACAACCTCAGTTTACAGTATTAGTGCTTCAGTTCAGTTTTCTCACAGAACTTGCCCAGCCCAAAACAAAAAATAGGCTGAACATGGAAATATGCCTCTATAATTCTAGTACTTGGTAGTCAGAGTCAGAAGGAATAAAGGCCAATGTGGACTACATATTGAGACCCTATCTGAACAATTTCAATCTCCACAAAAACAAACAGTAAAAACAGAAAAACAAAACCAAAAGCAAAGAAAAGCTCTAGCTGCTTTTAAGTAAAAAGTCCAAACTTATTTATAATCATTCACCTCAGAGGAAAATAGGTTACTATGTGCTCCTTCACAATTCTAAATATCCATCTGGGTCTTCAGTAGAACACAACTGTAATCCTAGCTATTCAGAAAGGCGGAGATCTGAAAATTGTAGTTTGAAGCCTGCCTAGGCAGACAAATACTAAGAGACTCTATATCTTCAATTAACCACCAAAAAACTGGAAGTGGAGGTGTAACTCAAGCAGAAGAGTACCAGCTTTGAGCAAAACAAGCTGAGAGAGAGCAGGAAGCCTCTGAATTCAAGGTCCAATACTGGCACACACACACACACACACACACATACACGCACACACACACAGGCACACACACTGGCACACACACACACACACACACACACCTAAATATCCTGTAAGTGCACCAAAATACTCAAGCAGAAGAGTACCAGCTTTGAGCAAAACAAGCTGAGAGAGAGCAGGAAGCCTCTGAATTCAAGGTCCAATAGTGGCACACACACACACACACACACCCCTAAATATCCTGTAAGTGCACCAAAGTGTGGAAACCTTGGATATAGGACCTTAAAGCTTGTTTTGTGTTAATAGCATGTTAAACTGAAATCTTTGTACAACTACTTAAATAATAAGAATAAAAAATTATATAACTAGAGGGGGGTAACAATGCTCAACAGGAAATGTACTCATTGCCTTACTAATGTAACTGTAACCCCCTGTAGAGTATCTTTACAATAAAAAAAGCATTTAAAAAAAATTATAAAACTTTTTAAAGGCTTCCACTGGTCCAGGCATTGTAGTATACATACATATAGTCCCAGCACTTGAGATGCTGAGGAAAGAGGATCACATAAGCATATAATACACAAACTTTCTCCAAACAAAATACAGTTACAAAGGGAAAAAAAATCATCCTTATTGGGAACCAGTGGTAAAGAGCCTACCTGCCTAGCATGCACAATGCCCCGGATTTAATCTCTAGGACCACAAAGGAAAAATGTGTCTATTATTATTTGATACTATAATATTTATTTACTAAAATGGTTGTTTTCAAAAGCTTACCTTGAATTCTCTTGATAAGTTTCTGTGTTATCAGAGGTGGATGTTTCACTCCTGTTACTTAAGAGGCACAAAGAAACAATGTTAATATCCCAAATACTAAAGTGCATTAAAAGTGCATTAAAGATCATTAACTTGAACTGTTAGTGATGAAGACTGTCTAATTTATTTTAAAAGTCTGAACTTCAAGTATATTTGAACTATGAAATAATCACAGCATTAAGTACTTTTCAAACATATTAAGATATGACTGCTTATTGTTTCATATTCATGTCTTTTAAAGAATGTAGTTAGCTGGGTGCTGATGGCTCCTATTACTCCTATTACGCCTATTAGCTACTTAAAAGAGACTAAGAAGGCCATTCTAGATTAGGTGATATACCAAAAAACAAACTATGAAGTTTATGGGTCTAACTAGGGTAAAAAGTATATTTCTAGGGGTCAGAGTAACTAACACTTGGTCTGAGTCTTTAAAAGAGAAGAAAAAGCCCAGGAGCTAAATAATTATGGCTTGGGGTAATGAGGAAAGAGGCTATAGAGGTGAAGGAATAACAAGAGTGAATTGAAGTGAAGGAATAACAAGAGTAAACTGAAGGAAAAACTTCAGTCTTATAACAATAAGTCAAGTATACTGAGAATCTCAAAGATTTTTGCACATCAGGCAACAAGAAAAATTACTGCACCAAAAAAGTTTCAATTGAGCTGGGTACTGGTGGCTCATGCCTTGTAATCCTAGCTACTCAGGAGGCTGTGTTCTGAGGATCATGGTTCAAAGCCAACCTCAGCAGGAAAGTCTGTGAGACTTTTATCACCAATAATCGAACAGAAAACCAGGAGTGGTGCTATGGCTCAAGTGGCAAAGCACTAGCCTTGAGCTGAAGAGTTCAGGGACAGCGCCCAGGCCCAGAGTTCAAGCCCCACAACTGACAAAAAAAGTTTCAATTGACTTAATGCAAGAAGATTAATATAGAGTGTTAAAGAGGGTGGTTAAATTACTGAAATTAGCACTTGTGTAATGAAAAGTGACTTAAATAAAACTTTACTGACTCTGCTTAATATATTGTTTCATAGGAGCTTCTATAATAGTAGCAAAATTGCCTTGCTTCAAACAGTTGTGCACAGTCCTACTAATGAATTATTAAGGAGTACATGCATGGATGATAATGTATAAAGAATAGGAGAATAATTATGCTAGTGAGAGAAAAGTGTTTATGTGAGTTTAAGGTTCAAATGTACAGGATTTCCGGGACTCCTATTTCTTTATCTATTTTAGTGGGTAGCTGGATATTTATTTTGTCACTTTTTAAAGTCACATATATGTATATTGGCTATTCTGGACAAAATATACTTCCCCTTGCATATTTTATATACATAAATCTGTGATACCTTACATATTTAATATACATAAATCTGTGATAAGATATAAATCAGGTCAAAACCAAATTTTCAAAAACAAAGAATAAATGACAGGGAATGTGGCTTAGTGGTAAAGTGTTTGCCTAGTATGCATGAGGCTCTGGTTTGTAGTCTTCAAAACCACATAAGCAAAAAAAAGCCAGAAGTGGTGCTGTGGCTCTCAAGTGGTAGAGTACTAGCCTTGAACAAAAATGAAGCTCAGAGACAATGCCCAGACCCTGAGTTCAAGCCCCAGGAACTGGCAAAAAACAAACAAACAAAAACTATGACTAAAATAGAATTAAGGATTCAATTAATACCACGTTTCAAAGAACTCTATTTCTTAACAATTAAAAAAATCTACTTCAGCTGGGTGCTGGTGGTTCACGCCTACAGTCCTAGTTACTCAGGAGGTAAGATCTCAGGATCAAGGTTTGAAGCCAGTTGGGCCAGGAAAAGTCCACTCAGAAAAAGCTGTGGAAGTGACACTGTGGCCAGAGTGCTAGCTTGAGTTCATAAAATGAAGCTCAGGGACATTGCCCAGGCACTGAATTCAAGCCCCAGGACTAGCACAAAAAAAGTCTATTTCAAATACCTCACTAAAAGGAATTGTGCCTCTAGTTTTCAAATGATATACAAAATAAATGATAAAAAAGAGCCTTCAGTTCTTAAGTCTAATTTATATTCAAAGGTAGATTCTTAAAATGATTTTAGATGGTGTAAGCTTAACTACATCATGAAGTTTATTCTGCAAGATATATATATAATTTTCTGTGTGCCATTTGAAAGCAAAACTATAGTTCTGATGGGATCATTTACTTTAAACAAAGAGTCATACACATAATTTAAAAAATCATATACTCATAATTTTCATTTTAATAATTAAATTGTTGCTTTTAGAAATAAATGTTGCTTACCTGTTCCCTACAGAATCTTGAGAAATCTGAAAGTTTGGAATGATAGAAGAAACACCATATTCATCCTGATATTTCTTACAAGATTTGTAATGATGTCTCATTCGATAGAATTTAATCTGTAAATTATTGATTAAAATGTAGTTTTTAATTTAAAATAGAAAAAGTTTGAGATAATGTCAACAAAGGATAAAAATAAGTAACTAAATGTTTCATTTAAGGTTTCTTTAAAGAAAATAATTATTTAATTCGTAAGTAGGAGCTCAAAACAGGCAATGTACTTTTGTCCACTAGATACACAAAGGGTAGAGAAGAATCTACCTTCCATAAATTCATTGCAAAAACATATTAACAATTTCACACTTGAAATATTACTACTAATATTTTTTAAGGACTAAGAGATTGCATTATGCTACTGCGTGTTTTTTTTAACTAACATGGCAGGTAAAAGGAACATACAAAATTAAGTTCTCATGTTAATATGTGGAATATTTTTCAGTTTCTCATGAGTAAAGCCAAAATATTTCAAGCTTCTTTCCAGTTTCATTTCATTGTACTGCCTATGAAACACATTTCTCAAAGACATAGAAAAGCAGATCTGAATGAATGAAATATAAAATAGCAACAAGTTTTGCTCAATAACTACTAGCTATTAGAAGTGTTTACAAGCCGGCCACTGGTGGCTCATGCCTATAATTCTAGCTGCTCAGGAGGCTGAGATTTGAGGATCACAGTTCCAAGCCGGCCCAGGCAGGAATGAGACTCATCTCCAATAAACCACCAGAAAATGGAAGTGGTAGTGTGGCTCAAGCACCCAGGCCCAGAGTTTAAGCCCCACAACCAACACAAGAAAGAAAAAGAAAGGAAAAGTATCTATAAGCTGGGTACCTGGGGCTTATGTCTATCATCCTTCCTATTCAGGAGGCTGAGCTCTGGATTAAGTGTCAATGACAGCCCTGGCAGACAAATCCAAGAGACTCTTACCTCCAATTAGCTAGCAAAAAGAAGTGTAGGTCTGGGTCAGTAGAGCACCAGCCATGGTGGGGGGGAGGCAAAAAAAGAGTGACTTCATGCCCCAGTTCTGGTGCCCATGTGAGTGAGCACACGCAGGCACACATACACAGATCTTTAATAAATCCAGACATATGGATCCACACAAAACCTAATTTGCCTTGCCAGTTTACTCCTCAAAATAGAATAAAAGCTAGAGTTACTTACCTACACCTGATTCTCCCATCTGGTCTTTTGTGAAACATTTTGTCATTTCTTAAATATGTAAGTGGACAGCTACAGAGTTGTTTGATTACATAAATCCTTCTGGCCAAACTATTAACATTTCTACGAATAAAGCTGCAATAATGATGCTATTGTCAAAAGAATACTTAAGAGTTGAGTCTGTAACCATAAAATGAGGTAAATGTTCATTTGGTTAATTCCCTAAGTAATATGAATGACTACCTTGAAGAAAATATCATGCTAAGAATTATGGCAAATTTACAGATTTTATCTTTCAGTATGTTTTCAATATACGTTTTCTTTTTCTTTTTTAAAATGACATCTTTTTTTTTTCAAACCAGAGCTTACCAAAAAAAAAATTAAATTGTTTCAGCTTAGAACCTTCAAAGAGCTAGGTCACATTTACTCTACCTGTTTTGCACAGCATCTGCAGCTACCAGAAAACTTCCTCATGATATTTTCAAGATCTAAGGCTCGTTCCGGACATGCTCTTTCTCTTCTAGTCACATTTCCACGACACAGGGGACAATGTATTCCGCTTTCTCTCATTGCAGTCAAGAAACATTTTCTACAGAAACTGAACCAAATATTTGTGACATATTAATTACAGAAAAATTTACCCTTTTCATTTCTATAATTAAACACAAACAAGTGACTATGGATATGTATTTATGCTAAGTAATTCAAGCTACTCATATGCACTTTTTTAAATTTTATTTTAAAATAAATTTTAAAAATGAATTCATCAGGAATAAGACTACATCAAAAGTAAGAAAAACTACATGCAAGTCCACTTTACAACTTTTAATAAAATAGTAGGAAAATTCAGTATTACCATGTAACCAACTTGGGCTGGCTCTGCCATTTAGTATTCATGTGAAGCATCACTCCTAAGGACATTGAATGTCTATCTCCTGCCCTTATAAAGCAGAGGTTTTGTCTGAGATGTGTTTCAAGGTATTACTCTACAAAACATGATTATGTCTAGGGTATAGATCATAGGTGGAGCTCCTGCCCAGCATGTGTAAGGCCCTGGGTTCAAGACACCATCCCTGGGCTGGGAAGGTGGCTCAGTGGTAGAGCACTTGCCTTGCATGCCAGAGGCCCTGGGTTCGATTCCTCAGCACCACATAAGCAAAAAGAAAAAAGCCGGAAGTGGTGCTGTGACTCAAGTGGTAGAGCGCTAGCCTTGAGGTGAAGAGCTTAGGGACAGCGCCCAGGCCCAGAGTTCAGGCCCCACAACCAGACCCCCCCCCAAAAAAAGACACCACCCTTCAAAATCTAAATATCCCATAATGAGTCTGTTAATTCCTTCCTCCATTTCTGTCAATTTTCCTATCTATAAAATTATATTGGTGGATCTATAAAACTTGGCAGTTTTATTCAAATGAAATGCCTCTCATAATGCTATTTCAGTCAGATGTTGTATGATGATAATGCTACACTAGCTTTCTTTGGAATGATATGAAAATACAGATTATATAAGACCAGGTACATAATAGATCTATACTAAGATAGGAGACTGTACATCTCTATCTAATTTATAGTCTTTAAAGTATGTGTATATTTGTAAATTCATCAAAAAGGGGATAAAAATATCAACCAGCCTCTTAAAAAAGCATATTTCTGACAAGAACAGGAACGAAAGGAAAATTATACTTTTTCTATAGTTCGAATGTTTTACATTAACACAAATTGCTATTAAACTTAAAACAATGTGGGGATTTAGTGAGTTTTGTTGTTGTTGTTTTTAGATACCATCACAAATAAAAACAAGCCTGGCACCCTTGGCTCACGCCTGTAATCCTAGCTACTCAGGAGGCTGAGATCTGAGGATCACAGTTCAAAACCAGCCCAGAGAGGAAAGTCTGTGAGATTTTATTTCCAATTAACTACCAGAAAACCAGAAGTGGTGCTGTGGCTCAAAGTGTTAGAGTGCTAATCTTGAGCTAAAGAACTCAGGGACAGTGGCCAGGGCCAGAGTTCAAGACCCATGATTGTTGACAAAAAGAAAAAGAAAAAAGAACCTGCTGTCTAGTCCATTGTGGAAAAGTTTTCAGTTTAACTCATAGTACTCATATTAGCCTTTAAAAACAATGTAGTACTTTGTTTTGCTTTGCTTTTTATGTATGCCTCGCGCCTGGGGCTTTAACTCAGAACCTGGGCATTACCCTGAGCTTTTTTGCTGATGGCTAACACTCTACTTTTGCCACAGTTCTACTTCCAGGTTATGGTGGTTAGTTGGAGTTAAAAATCTCACAGACTTTCCTGAGTATGCTGGTTTCTAACTGTAATCCTCATAGCTCAACCTCTTTGAGTACCTAAAAATGACAGGCATGAGCCACCTGGCCAAAACAATATTTTAAAATGAACAATATAATCACTAAAAATTCCTCTACACAGTGCTCAGACCAATAAGAAAACTGAAGTCCTGTAAATAATACTGAGCAATGAAATCTATGAAGTATTATTCCAAGCAACACACAGTTGTTTTTATAAAGCATACAAAACTTTCATGAGAAAAATTCAGAGCACTTACTATTCTGAATTCATAATAAACAATTCACTAAGCCAATACTTTAAAAACTCCAGCAACAGTATATATTGTTCCAAGTATATCTAATGCTATATGAATTTATTCAAACAGTTCTGTTTAGAAGGTCCATAGGGTTTTTAATTTCAAAAAATGTTTATGGATTCATAAACATTACTTAAGAATAGACATGTAAAAGTCAAAATCAAGGGCAACAGATACGGTATGGAACAGATCTTTTAAGTCATACATCAAGTCTTAGCAGCCCAAGTAAACCTGCTTTTAAAATTTAAAGATAAGTTTGGCTTTATCTAGGAACACATAGCTAATATTTAACAATAAGCTACAGTTTTTCACAATCCTCTTGGTTAGTATAGTCATAAATTATCTTAAGAGTATCACTAAGAAAGTTTTAAAAAGCTTAACTCAACTGGGGATGGCTCAGTGACAGAATACTGGCCTAGAATTGAACCCTAGGTTCAAATGAACCCTAACATTGAACAATGGCCTTGCAATGGATCTTAGTTCAACCCCTAGCATTTCAATAATTCAACTATATCAAAAAAGATAACATTCTGTAAGTTACAGGATATGACAAATTAATATTATGATAATTTTTTTTCAGCTAGTACTAGAAACTATACCCAAGACCTCTTGCTAGGTACAACATGAGCCATGCCTCTAGCCTTTCTGTTTATATATGTGATCTGGTCTGTAATGTTGCCAGGGCTTGCCTGGAACTCTGGTCTTAACTCTGGTCCTTCCTCCTCTGCCTTCTCAGAAGCTGGGATTACAGGATTCATTACCATGCCCAGCCTATTATTGTTAAATATCACAATTATAAATTACTTTTCTTTTTGCAGTGCTGAGAACTGGGTCACACTCCAGAACTGCAATACTGAGCTATATCCCCAGCCTTAAAGACTTTTTAAAAGTTTATATTTTCCTGGGGCTGGGAAGATGGCTAAGTGGTAGAGTGCTTGCCTTGCACACCTGAGGCCCTGGGTTGGATTCCTCAGCACCACATAAGCAAAAAGAAAAAAGCTGGAAGTGGCGCTGTGGCTCAAGTGGTAGAGTGCTAGCCTTGAGCTGAAGAGCTGAGGGACAGCGCCTAGGCCCAACGACCGGACCCCCCCAAAAAATGTTTATACTTTCCAAAATGCAAAATATTGTATTTAGTGGAAAATTACTGCTCACTGACTTAATTACCTCAGTGCCAAAACTTTTTTTCCCCTTGGTGCCTTACATGTCAAATGCTATCTGAGTTTTTTTTTCACTAAAAGTAGACACAAATCCACCACGTTCCAATAAGTGCAAGTTGTTTTGAAAATATTGGTAATAGCTATAAAAACAAAGATTTAGGCTGGGAATGTAGCTTACTGGTAGAGTGCTTGCCTAGCATGCATGAAGCCCTGAGTTCAATTCCTCAGTATCACATAAGCAGAAAAAGCCAAAAGTAGCACTGTGGTTTCTCAAGTGGTAGAGTGCTAGCCTTGAGCAAAAGAAGCTCAGGGATCACGCCTGTAATCCTAGCTACTCAGGAGGTTGAGATCTGAGGGTCATGGTTCAAAGCCAGCCTGGGCAGGAAGTCTGTGAGACTCGTATCTCCAGTAAACCACCAGAAAATCGGAAGTGGCGCTATGGCTCAGTGGTAGAATGCTCACTTTGAGACGAAGAGATGAGGGACAGCGCCCAGACCCAGAGTTCAAGGCCCACAACTGACAAAAAATAAAAAAAAATTAGAAGCAGCAGCAGCTCAGGGACAGTGCCCAGGCCCTGAGTTCAAACCCCAAACTGGTAAAAATAAAATAAAATAAATAAAGATTTAAAAGCATACAAATTTTAAGAAAATAATAAGTAAAAGTCACTTTAAGCTGGGCACCAGTAGCTCACACCAATAATCTAGAAGGCTAATATTTTGAGGATCAGGTTTGAAGCCAGCCCATCCAGGAACGCCTGTGAGACTATTATCTCCAATTAATCAGCAAAAATCCAGAAGCCAGAAATGAAGGTGTGGCTCACATGGTAGAGCACAGCTTTGAGCAGAAAAGGCTAAGGGATAGCTCTGACCCAGAGTTCAAACCACAAAATGATCACTTTTGATAACAAAATATCTGAGCCGGGCACTGGTGGCTCACGCCTGTAATCCTAGCTACTCAGGAGGCTGAGATCTGAGGATGGCGGTTCAAAGCCAGCCCAGATAGGAGAGACCGTGAGACTCCTATCTCCAATAAACCACCAGAAAACTGGAAGTGGCGCTGTAGCTCAAGTGGTAGAGTGCTCGCCTTGAGCTGAAGAGCTGAGGGACAGCGCCCAGGCCCAGGGTTCAAGTCCCAAAACCAAAAAAAAAAAAAAAATCTGTTAAAGAGCAGGAAATGTAACTCCATGGTAGAGTGCTTGTCTAATATGTGCAAAGACCTGAGTTTAATCCCCAGTAGGGCAAAAATAAATTTTAAAAAAACTTAGGTGAAAAAAATCCTGTTAGTTCCCCAAAATTATACATCTAAACTGGCCAAATAAACTGTACAATACACTCTTCAAATACTACATTAAAATTATTAAGGTGATTATTATACAAAATATACTGGAAAATGTTCACATATGAAACTCTTAAGAAATGTAGTTCAGCACATTCAACAAGAGCACCCTCTTGTTAGAAATGTACTCCTTTCCTGACGTATGTAACAATAACGCCACTGTAAATCACCTTTATAGTAACAATTTTTTTTAATTTTTAAAAAGAAAAGGAGAGGAGAGAGAAGACAGGAAGAGAGAAGAGAGGACAGAAAACAAAAAAGGAAATGGAATAAACAATGTAAGAAGATTTTAAATTAACAAGACTTATTAAAAAGGTACAAATGTTTAAGAAAGAAAAATGTAAACATAAACAATTCTAGTTAATAAATATATTAACATAAAACTAATTAAAAGGTCCTTAAAAATGATTGCTCTACAGGATTTTGCCAAACAAAATAAACTTTTTTTTTTGTCGGTTGTGGGGCTTGAACACTGGCACTATCCCTCAGCTCTTCAGCTCAAGGCGG